ACTCTTGGAAAGGGAGAAGACAATTTCTCACTGTAGTTAAGTACAGATATCTAACCCAATGTTAATTCAACCTTTCTGAACCTCCATTTTTCTTAGCAGTAAAATTAGAGCCATAGCACCGTGGTGAAAATTCAATAAGCCATTGTAATATCAAGATCAGTGGGCACAATGCTATGCAGCAAGACATCCTCAGATGGTAGCTGTTACGCTCAGAAAAGCAAAATTATCGGCCCAGGGAACAGCATGAGTAGAAGGTACATAAGGGACCACTGAATAATTTCAAATGTACAGAACAGTTGCTAATGTGTGACAAAGGACTTTTGTGTTTACTGTGCTGGGATTCACCAATCGTTACTATTTTATCATACTTGTTCATTTTCCCTGAACCTTCCAAGAGGCAGTTACAGATATCACGGCCTGTTACCCATAAAGGCTGCAGGGTGTATTTCCTACCAGCAAGGAAAGTCTGTTCAATAGCCACAGGACAAATGCTAAATCCAGATAATATGATTATCTCCTAGTTAATGACTTGTTCAGATCTCACAATTGTTCCAATTTTTTTTTTTTGTACTGATACTGAAGCTTGAACTCAGGGTTCTGTCTTGTAGCTCTTCTGCTCAAGGTTAGCACTCTACCACTTGAGTCACAGTCCTACTTCCAGCTTTTTGGAGGTTTATTGGAGAAGAGTCTCACGGACTTTCCTGCCCAGGATAGCTTTGAACTGCAATCTTCAGATCTCAGCCTCCTGAGTATCTAGGATTATAGGCATGAGCCAACAGTGCCCCAGACTATTCCAACATTATTTGTGACAGTTTTTATTTGGTCTTTCCCTATCTTTCTATCATGACAACCTGAATCTCCTATTGTATTTAGCTGTCAAATTTTAATCATTACTTTTTAAAATGCTGGTTCTAGGGCTTGAATTCAGGGCTTGGGCTCTGTCTCTGGTTTTTTATTTTTGCTCAAAGCTAGAGCTCTACCACTTAAGCCACAGTTCCACTTTTGGAATTTTTTTTTTGGAAATTGGAAATAAGGGTTTCACAAACTTTATTGCTGAGGCTGTCTTCAAATTGTGATCCTTAGATTTCAGATTTCTGAATAGCTAGGATTATAGGCATGAGCCACCACTACCTGGCTTTACTTGCTTTTATATGGAAGGGTTCTTCAGACTTTCCTTATTCTTCATGTTACTGACGTTAGAAGATTACAGGCCAGTTATTTGGTATTCTGTACCTCAGTGTGGTCTAGTTTGACATTTAAGCTACCCATTTTGGGTGAAGAACTTTCTGGGCAACATATGCTTCAGTACATCACATAGGGATGGATAGAAGCAGAACATGTCTCATTGTGAATTATATTGACCTTGATCTTTGATATTGACTTTGATCTTTGATACTGACTTTGATCTTTGTGCCTGTCAGCTTTCTTCACTAGAAATCACTATTTTCTAAGTCATCTGTTGGAACACAGTTGGAGACCATGCCAATATCATTTTGTTTTTCATATACTTTACAGAGCTGTTGATATGATACTCCTTCCTTGAACCAATTACACTTACTCCTTAGCCACAGATTTCACATGCTCAGATTCTATCAGTTATAGATGGGAAATATTAAAAAGAAAATTGCATCTGTTCTGAAAACATATAGACATTTTTCTTGTCATTTTTTCCTCAATGATAAGTATTTAGCTAGTGTTTATATGGTGTTAGGTGTTATAAATGATGTACATGGATAAAAATATGTTGGTAATCTACACTAGTGTGTCATTTTAGATAAGGAACTTGGACATTTGAAGATTTTAGTATTCAGCAGAAACCAATTCCTTCAGATACTTGTATTACTACAATAGATTTTTTGAGTGTGTGTGTATGTGTGTGTGTGCATGTGCGTGCATGTGAATGTGTATTGGTAATAAAGGATTGAATTCAGGGTCCAAGTGATGTTCCTTAGCTTTTTTTTTTTTAACTCAAGGTTGGTGCTCTACCATTTTAGCCACAGCACACTCCTGGGTTTTTGGTGGTTAATTGTTGATAAAAGTCTCATGAATTTTTCTACTTAGGCTGGCTTTGAACCTTAATCCTCAGCCCTCAGCTTCCTGAGTAATTAAGATTGTAGGTGTAAGTCACAAGCTCCTGGCTAGATAGCTTTTTTTTTTTTTTTATAAAAAAGATGATTTTATACTTCCATTTTTCCTACATTTACTAGATAGCCTTGTACTATGAGTAAACGATTTCCCTTCTCCATTCATTGACATAGTAAGTACGGCCTTTAGATTTTGAATTTTGTTAGGTGGATTAAGGGATATGATATGCTATTTGTGTTATATTTTCATGCTTACATTGTCTCTTATTTGGGAACCTCTAAGCTGACTTAGAGGTTCTTTTGATCACATGCCCATGTGACCCCTCTCCTTCTGCTCCCCTCCTCTCTCCTCCCCTTTTCTCCCTCATTCCCTTCCCTTCCTCTCTCTTTCCCTCTTCTCTCCCTTCCTCTCCTGGCCTCTTCCCTCCTCCTTTTCCTTCCCCCCCCCTCTCTCTTGCAGAATTTGAACTCAGGGCATTGTGCTTGCTAGAAAGGTACGCTTTTACTCCGGAGCCATGCATCCATACCCTAGCTGATCTTTGTACAATGGTTCTAGTCACTGCATGAAGAAAGTGGTCAATAAATATCTGTTGACCTGACATGTGATCATTTTCTTCATTCTCAGTATACAGTTATACAGTATGTTAATTTGCATTTGAGAACAGATTTTTTTTCCTTCTTCTTCTTTTCTTTTGGTGCCAGACCTGGGGCTTCAACTTAGGGCCTGATCACTGATCCTGAACTCTTTTGCTCAAGGCTAGATTTCTGCCATTTCAACCACAGCTCCACTTCTGGCTTTTTTTTTTTTGTATGTGTGGTTAATTGGAGATAAGAGTCTCAGGGGTTTTCCTGCCTGGGCTGGCTTTGAACTGCAATCCTCAGATGTCAGCCTCCTGAGTAGCTAGATTAAGACATGAGCTACAAGTGCCTAGCTGTTTGTTTGTTTGTTTGTTTTTTAACAACACATCAGCTTAGACCTTCATCCCTCCTGACTGATTGCTTTAAGAATGTGGTTCAGCACTGGAGTTCATCTTAACCAACCAGCACATTCCCACTGAAAGCCATGGACTATAGCCAGTTCCTTGGGGTGAGGTCCCAAGGTCCCAGCCATTCATAACTGTCTGTTCTTGAAGAACATGAAGAGTCCAGAGAGCCTCAGATATCACCTTTCTGGATTAAATGTCTCACTTATAATTCTCAAATACAGCATATTTATTTATAGCGATTTAATTAATTTTATGGAGCATTTAAGCCCCAAACTGTAAGTGCTTAATATATATTTAATCATTTAAGTAAATGATTAAAATTGAATTCAGAGCTTTTTTGGGGAAGAAATAATGATGGAGTGTAAACCAGAAATTGAAACCTTTGGTTTCTTCTTATCATGTCCTTTTTGAGGGAGGAAGGGTTTATTTTAGCTATGGTTTCAGAGGTTTCTGTCCATTATGGAAGGGGGGTGATGTGGAGAAGGAGGAGGGAGGGGGAGAGAGAGACGGGGGGGGCACAAATGATTACACATATGGAGTGCAAATGGAGAGATTTCTCCAGCATTTGGGGTGGCTCTGCCCACATTTGGGGTGACTCTTTCCTTCCATAGCCAGTCTCTGTGGAAATGCTTCATAGATATACTTATAGGTGTTCTTTCCTGATCTTCTGGTGTCAACCAATCAAGTCAAGTTGACAACCAAAACTACCTGTTACAAGTCCACTTCTAGTCAACTTGACACAAACTCAAATCTCCTTAAACCCTAACATTGTGTCCAGTCCCCACGAAGGCTCCTCTATATCTGCTAATGCAAGATGCAGTTAGTCCACCTACAAGAGCCCCACAGTCTTACCAGCGCTCCTTCTGGTTCTAGCTGGGCGTCTGTGGCTCAAACTTGTAATCCTGAGATCTGAGGAGCATGGCTTGAGGTCAGCCCGAACAGATCCACAAGACTTTGTTTCCAATCAACCAGGAGAAAAGCCAGAGTGGAGGCATGGCTCAAGTGGTAGATCATTAGCTGTGAGTGAAATAAACCAATTAAGAGTGAGATGTCCTGCGTTCATTTCTAGAGAAAAAAAGTTCAAGTTTCCCTAAGATTCAAGGTAAACTCTTAGCTCTGAACTCACATAAAATAAAAAACAAATTAAATCTATTAAAGCCACAATGGTGCTGAGTAAACATTCCTGTTTCATTCCTATTCCAAAAGGGAGGATAGTAGCATAGAAAGGAGGAATGGGATCAAAGCAAGACTAAAACTCAGAAGAAGACACAACATTTGGTTCCATGTCCAGCATGGGGTTGTGACCTGATGTGAGCCCCAGATACTTAGTGCTGTTGCTATTGCCAGGCCATTTGCAGCCCACATGGCTGGAGTGAGCTCTCTTCCCTGCCTGTGGCTTCGCTTTGCAGACATTTCAGATTCCTGGCATCTCTAATTTCCTGGGCTCTTATGAAGCTTTGGCTTCCCCCTCCCAGCTCCATACATCATATGGATTATTTATGGAGAAAGGGGTATTTAATAACTTTTTGTCCAGTTGTGCCTTTGTGTGTGTGTGTGCAGGTGTGTGTGTGTGTGTGTGCACACACACATGCATGTGCTGATTCTGTGGCTTGAACTCAGGGCCTGGGCACTACCACTTGGACAGCTCCTCTTCTGGCTTTTTATTTCCTGATTAATTGAAGATAAGAGTCTCACAGCCTTTCTGGCTGGACTGGCTTTGAACTGCAGTCTTCATATATCAGCCTCTTGAGTAGCTAGGATTGCAGATAAGAACTTCCAACACCAGCTATCCAGGTTGTCCACGAATCCTGATTTTCCTGACCACCACTTCCCCAGGATTACACCATGCCTATCCTTCTGCTCTACTTCTTTTTCACAATGGTCACTATAAACCTGGTGAAAAGCTGCTAGTAATAGCCATTTGATGGATCAGCATATTTCACTTCACCTTCCTGCAGCACAGATTCTTGCTCATAACTCATCAAGGAAGATGAGGAACATGGTGCTGGTACATTTTCTTCGTTGGGAGGCTGAGGTGGTCAACATCATGAAGGGACTCTCCTGTGCTCCAGCCTTTCTTGTCTATGTTAATTCTTCTATGCAGGCTTGTGTTTTCATGGTTTATGTTCCACATTTGCTTCTTCAAACATCAGGTTGAACGTGATAAGTATAATTTTTAAACCAAAGTACTGTATATGTAAGTCTATGTACTTTGTTTTCCTAGATGGTGTGACTGGGGTGATCACCTACCTTGTCCTTCTCTCTTAATAAAGTCATCGATTTGTTAAGACAAAAAAAACACCCATTTGACAGCAGACGGCCTCCATCTCCACCTGAAAACTCATGAGCACTGTCTTCTCCACCCACTTTCCTGTCAGTGTGTTGGTCCTCTGGGCTCCCATAGGGCCACCCATTAGGCCCTGCTCACATGCTCAGTGTTCTGGGGATTCTGAAACATGGGGTCAGGTAGTCATGGCAATGACCTCTCCTTCTCCTGCACCGATTTTCTGTATTAGTCAGATTCGTTGATGAGGCAAAATGCCTGAGCAAACAATTTGGAGGTTTCAGTCCATCATCACAGGCAGGATGTGGAGGAGCTGCCCAGACCACGCAACAAGAATGGCAGAGAGAGGATGGCTACATCCTCTTTTCAGCTTCTGGTTATGGGCCAGCTCTGGCCACTCGGCTTGAACCTCACTGTTCAGCCTCGAATTCTGGCTCCACTCTGCTTCTGGCTGTGCTTTGTGCCAGTTTCTCAACCTCTTTCTGACTCCACTTCCACATCCTATTTAGGGGTGAGGAGTCCTAAGGAAGCTGAATCTCAAAGATGTTAAGTAACAAGCACAAGATAAAGCTATTCAGCCACATCTCAAAGGCTGGTGTGACTGATTCCAAAGTCATTGATTATTAATTATTAATTAAGTAATTGGAATATTAATGCGGTAAAGTATTTTGATACTATGACTCTCAAATTACTGTTTTCTGACCATCTTTTTTTATTCATTTAGTCTTGGTGCTGGTCCTGGGACATAAACTCAGGACCTGCTGTCCCTGAGCTTTTGTGCTCAAGATTAGTTCTCCATCACTTGAGCCACAGGCCTGCTTCGAGCTTTCTTGGTTCTTAATTGGAGATAAGAGTGTCATGGACTTTCCTTCCCAGGCTGGCTTCTAACTGCAATCCTCAGATCTCAGTCTCCTTGAGTAGCTAGGATCACAGGCGTGAACCACCAGAGCCCAGCTTGATTACCTTCCCCCTACCCCCCAATAAGGTATTTGGTTGTATGTGCTGATGGCATATGTCTATAATCCTAATTACTCACGAGACTGAGATCTGAGGATGACTGTTCAAAGCCAGACTGGGCAGGGAAGTCTATGAGACTTTTATTTCCAATTAAACAAAACAGCTAAAAGTAGAGCTGTGACTCAAGTGGTAGTGCACTAGCCTTGAACACAAAAGCTCAGGGACAGCACTCAGGCCCTTGAGTTCAAGCTCCAGGATAATTACCAAAAAGAAAAAAAATGGTATTTGATTGCTTGGTCACCTAAACAGCATTCATGTGCCATTTCCTCATCTTTAAAATGATTTTGATTAAGACTGATTGATGCATTGTACTCACAAACTGATATGTTGAATGGAAACTCCTTCGAACTATTACTTAATGATAATAAAAAATAGTCTTCAGTATGACAACAATGTTTCGAGGTTTGGATCATTAATGTGTATTCATAGCTAGCTATAAAGTGTGGTATGTGGTCAGCACCTGTAATGGAGCCATGTGTGAATCACTGTGAGCGTCACACCAGGACCGCTGAACCAGGACTGCTGAACTCCTTGAGACCATTTTGAGTCTTCTCATAACACTAAAGTAAGCACTGAGAGCTTTGTTGATGGTGGAGTTGGGGAAAGACTGAATCAGCCCTCTGGGGCTTGTTAGTATTTCTGGGCTGAGGTTACAGGTTTATGGGATGGAGTGGCCAGGCAGATTGGCTGTTGCCCCCTTGGTAGGCAAGCTGGCTTCTGAGAACACTCAGAAGGAGGGTGAGGAAGACCGCAGAGGACGCATGAGGAAGGCTGCCACAAAGGAGGACAATGAGGAGGAAGGAAGACCAAGATACCAAAGGGCAGGCTTTTAGGAGAAGCGCAACGATGCTGTTGATTATGGCTGGCAATCTAAGCTTGTAAAGATTCACTCACAGGCTTAAGTGTGCATTAGGCAGATGCCAGGGTGCTATTCTACCGAGCAGTGGTCCCAGGGATGCTGTAAAAGCTCTTTTCAGGAGCCCGTGCCACCTATTGACATTCTGTAAGCTCCCTCTAGAGAGCTGCGTGACATTTTGCCCTGAGCGTTTCCAATGTGGCCTCCTCCGATTGCTTCGCTCAAGTCCAAGGACCATGAAAGGGACTATATATGGCACGCCATGTGGTCAAGGCTGTTTCTGGCCAAAACTCAGCCCTTTTGGGTCCCCCTGAGTTTTTTTCTGGGTGCTGAATGCCAGAATATGGGGGCCACTCTTGGAATATTGGAAGCCTAAATACTTGAGCAAAGCTGAAGGCAGGTTTCATGATTATGAGAGAAAAAAGGGCTGTTTATACTATGTTTGAGTGGCACATTTCATTTCCCTTTTGTCAAAGTGCTTCTCTCTGATACTTTAGTGTAGGATGTGGTGTGCTTTGTTTTAATTATTTGCATTCCTCAACCTGGGCGCTGCATCACCAATACTGTGTAATTAAAACCAAAACCTGTTCTCCTCTAAGAAAAACAAAGATGCATGTAGTTTTTCACTGAGCAAATGGCTACCACTGCTCCCTTGTTGCTGCTTGCATTTCGGAACACCTACTTCCAGAAGAGGAAGAAAAACAACACTTTGAATCCTATAGTGGATCTGTGAAAAGGCTTCTCATTCCACAATGCTGAACTGTTCAGCTGCTGTGGCGTATGAATGATCTCATGTCACTAATACAAAATGAAAAGCCCCACAAGCAATTGCTTTTCCTAATTCTGTTTGATTTTTTTCTGAGAGCAGATACCATTATTCAAAGCACATATGAAATCATGCACCTGGGTGTTTAAATTTGGGATTGAGTTTCCTACAGGCCTGAGCTTGGAAACAAAAAATGGCTTCGAGGAATTAGCATTTTCCTGGCAGTGAATTTAATAACCCTGAAGAATGGATGGCTTGTGAATCCTTCTGTCCATCATGGAATTTGCTTGTTTTAGTGTCGTATAAGGGAATTAGATTCGATTATGGAGATTTCCATTGTCCTGAAAAGGTATCTGAAAATTGCAGCAGACACACAAATCCTAATCAGGTGTCATGGGAAGATTTGTAAGGCTTCTTTTGTTGGCACCTCGTGTAATCGGCACCCCTCCCCGACCCCCAAATGTGTTAGACAGTGACCTGCTGTGTGAAATCCAGAAAGAATTCCTTCCCAGCATCTCTCTTCTTCTTACACACCATTCATTCTTCGTTTAGATGTCAGTGTTGCCGTCTATGTGAGATGCACTATTTGCTTCCTTTACTGGCTCTTCTCAGAATTGGAGGGCCACATGGGGCCTTTTTCTCTTGTCTCTCCTTTGCTTCTTACTTTCGGATCATGTGTCCATGTGCCCTTGTGTTTGTGGGATCAGCTCACTACCAGGAAAACAGGAGCTGCAGTGTGCCAGGTGACAAAGGGAGGCAGGGCAGGGGTGGGAGATGAGGGGAATACTATGAGCAAACCATGACACTGCCAGCTAGCTGTGGCCGCTCATACGCACGCTGTGTAATTCCTCTAGGCACCTTGACCCGATCTCCAGCTATGAAGAGGCATAAACAGAAACGAGCCTGGATTTTTCTAAAATGACTATTTTTTTAACCACTTCCTTTGAATTGCCACTGAAAAGTCTAGATAGGTGTCTTTCCTGTAGGTGTACCCTGATCACCTATCCATGTACTCATGTTTAATGAGTCTAACATGTGCCAGGCATGCTTCAGACACTGGCTTTCCAGGTAGGAAGCGAGTCATAGACAGGGTGCTTGTGCTGCCCTTGCAGAGATTTTGAGTCAAAGCGAAGGATGACAGCGTATCACGATTCATACAAATACTTGATCGCAAACTGTAGGATGGGTGTGTGAGAAGAATGTGCGTGGCATGATTGACACACGTGTCTGTTTCAGAACGGTAGGGATCAGAGGGATGGCAGAGGTATGTTTGGAAGTGTCATCTGTACTGAGACCTGAAGAAGGAGAGGGCCTTGGCTAAATTCAGAGTTGAGCTCATGAAGGGTCCAAAAAAAAAAAAAAAGAAAGTAGCACGTGGGAAGCCCCGGAGCGATGCTGAGTAAACTAGTATGCTAAGCAGATGGGGAGGTGGGCAGATGTGGGGGCCACTTCCCCCTCTCCTTGCCACTTTGACTTCCAAACGTGGGATGGCATTTTAAGTAAATAAGCATGTGCAACTCTCCACCAGAGAGGTTTTCTAGAACTGTCATCCAGTGCAGTGCTGGGTGGATGGAAAGTGTCGAGGAGGGAGGCTTTCACAAGTAGCCTTCAGCTAATGGTGATGAGAGTTGCAGCCGAAATGCCCCAGCCTTTTCCCACCTTGGGCGGGATATCCTTCCCACTCCATTTCCTGTAGGACTCACCACCTTCTGCTCATGAAGGTATCATGCATTGGTTTCCTTCTCTTTGTTCACATCACTCTCCTAGTCCCATGCTAGCAGCTCTAGAGGTCATCTAGTGAGTAGATACTCAACCTGGACTCTGTCTCCTGGTCTGCTTCTTGCAAAGCCTGAGGTCAGCAGCAAGACAGGAGGAGGCTGGAAAGCTGGCCAAAATCAGAGCACGGAGGGTTGGAGTTCTCAAACCCAGTCCATGGAACCCAGTGTTACCAACGACCCTTTCAGGGAGGAGAAGTCAAACTGCTTTTTTGTAATATCACTAAAATGATGTTTACCTCTCTCCTCATTATGGCATTTCAGTATCAAATGGCAAAAGAGAAGTAGGTAAAAAGATGGAGCTTTAGTTTGAGTCCAGGCTGTAATAGGATTCACATGTTATTTTTTACCTGCATTTGCAAATAAGGGAAAATATAAGCCTACTTTCACCTAAAGATTATCCTTGATGAAGCTGGGTGCTTCATGCATGTAACTCAAGCGACTTGGTAGATTGATATTGGAAGAATTGTAGTTCTAAGCCAGCCTGGAGAGAACAGTTCACAAGATTCCTTCTTTATGGAGATCTAGTCTCAGTGGTGTGAGCCTATTAACTATGGCAGTTTGTAGACTAGGCTTGTATTCTGGTAGGAAGACAGACCTTATCTCAGTACAAAAAGGGCTGGAGGCGTGGCTCAGTAGAATGCCTGTATAGTAAGCACAACAAAATCCAATTCTTAAATTACCCTTGAGGAAGCTGTAAAAATTACTCTTTAAGCCCCTTATTGTAAGTATATATTTAAAAAATCCACATAATAGAATGGTAAGAAAAAAAATACAGAATTGCTCTGCTGTATACCACACTTCAATTGCTGTCTCGAGGGAACAACGCTTGTGTTTAATTGAGTTGGGAGCTAAATTCGCCCCTTATTAGAATCTTTACTCAAAGAACAATTGGCAGATATTCAAACTATGATTACTCAGATTAAAACATGTGCAGAGCATTCTCTCAAAAAAAAATGAACAAAGTAGGCCTCTCTGTTCAAGAAATGCAACACTCAGCAGCCCATGGAACTATCTCCAAAATAGATCACCATTCTAGGACATAACACAAATCTTAGTGAACATAAGAAAATCGAAGTAACGCCTTATCTTCCCTCAGACCAAAATGAATAAAACTGGAACCCCACAGGAAAAGGGACTATAGAAAATACTCAAGCAGGGGCTGGGAAGGTGGCTCAGTGGTAGAACGCTTGCCTTGCATGCATGAGGCCCTGGGTTCGATTCCTCAGCACCACATAAGCAAAAAGAAACAAGCCGGAAGTGGTGCTGTGGCTCAAGTGGTAGAGTCCTAGCCTTGACCTGAAGAGCTGAGGGATAGTGCCTGGGGCCTGAACTCATCCCCCAAAAAAGAAAATTCTCAAGCACACAGAGACTGGCTGAATAACATATTGTCGAATGACATCATTGAAGAAATAAGGAGAGAAATCCCCAAATCCCTAGAATCTAATGAAAAGGAGAACACAACCTATTCAGACCTTTGGGACACAGCAAAACAATGCTAGGAGGAAAGTTTATAGCTATGAACACTTACATCAAAATAACAGAGCAATCTTAAATTTAAATAGCTTAATAATGCACCTCAAGTTCCTAGAGAAACAAGAACTAGCCACATCTAAAGCTAGCTAAAAATAAGGATGATGGCAAAAATCAATGCGTTCAAAACTAATAAAACTATACGATAGGGCTGGGAAGGTGGCTCAGTGGTAGAGTGCTTGCCTTGCATGCCTGAGGCCCTGGGTTCGATTCCTCAGCACCACATAAGCAAAAAGAAAAAGCCAGAAATGGCGCTGTGGCTCAAGTGGTAGAGTGCTAGCCTTGAGCTGAAGAGCTGAGGGACAGCGTCCAGGCCCAGAGTTCAGGCCCCACAACCTGACCCCCCCCCCAAAAAAAAACTATACGATAAATCAATGAACAAAAAAATTTGCAATGATGAATGAGATTGATTAACTCTCAGCTAATCTGACTAAAAGGAGGAAGGAAAAGACCCCTGCAAAACAAAATGAGAGATACAAATGGGACAATCATAACGAATACCAAGGAAGTACAGATGATCATGAGGGAATACTACATAGAAATAAACTTGAGAATGTAGAAGAAAGGGATACATGTCTGGACATACTTGACCTACCAAAGTTGAACCAGAACACAAACCTTGAAGATGATGTGGTTTTAGCTGTTCTCATCACTGCCACAGGGCTGGTGAAGCTCTATTAGCTACTGAGCTCCAATTTGGAGCAGATCTTAAAAATCATTACCCTTGCATTGGTATTTGTGTGTCTGATTAAAATACATTCACCACTTGTGCCACTGTGAAAGGTGAAGAGACCTGGATGGGGCATTTGCAATCTGCTCCAGCCATCTCAGCTGGAGAGAAGCTCACAGGGGGGCTGAGCTGTCTTATGCCCTAACGAGCTCCATTAAAGACACCTGAGGCTCAGTGGAAGCATTCAGCTAGACACGAGCCCCTCAGCAAATACCCACAAGCACATGTGTCTGAGCTGATGAACATTACCGTGCCTGAACATTACCGTCGCTACCTTTGAAAAGTCTTCTTGCTGCAGGCCAGCGGCTGGCTACCATCCTATTTTCATCTGTCTTGTCTTTAATTTCCTGGAACTGTGAAATGTTTTCTCCAGTGTTTCTCCTGATCTTCCTTTGCTCTGGAGGGTGGAAGCCAGTTCAATCAGTAAGGAGTGAGAAAGATATGCAGGGGGGAAAGTGGGCAGGAAAAGGGGAAGAAAAAGGAGCTGGGGCATCTCAGGTGAAACATCATTTCCAATGTGTTAAGAAGACATTGTTTTCAGGGCATCAGTGGCTCACCCCTGTAATCCTAGCTACTCAGAAGGCTGAGATGTCAGGATCTAAGTTGGAAGGGCAGGAAAGTCCATGAGACTTATTCTGCTCTGCCGATGTGTGTGTGTGTGTGTGTGTGTGTGTGTGTGTGCGCGCGTGTGTGTGTGTGTGTGTGTGCGTGCGTGCGTGCGTGCGTGCGTGCGCGCGCGTGCCCGCACAGAGGTCACCCTGCTGCTGCTCCCTCAGGCAGGAATGGGAAAAGAGAAGGAATTGTACTCTGGGCAATGTCATGCTGAGATGAATGCTAACTCTCTAGATTACAGCATGACTGGACGAAAAGAAGGCATGCCTGTGAGAAACCACCACACACAGTGTGGAGACCTCAAGAACCCTCGGGCCTTTGCATCATCTGTACTGCTTGTGCCCAGGAAGCTGGAAGGGCCCCCCAGCCTTGTGTCCCTTTGAGGAGCCAGCAGCCCCCTCTGGAAAGAAGCAATCCCTTCCAGCCTTGTGTTTCGACAATCCTTTCAGTGCCACGCAGCAGGCTGATTCCTCTTGAATCAGGTAATAAGTCATTTGCTTTTGAACAGTGCCACCCCTCCCTCATTCTTTCCTCGTTTTTCCCTCCAGACTTCCCTCCCCCACCCAGTTGTATAGTTCATTTCCAGCATAGTGTCTCGTGAGTAGCATTGCTGAGCTGGCTTACCTTTTTTTCTACCATTTCTGTGCATCCCCTTTCCCTCCCCAAATCAGATAAACTTAGATACAAGTCAAAGGGAACAGAAATTAAAACAGTGACAAAAGAGAATAAATCAAGAAAAGAAAAAAGAAAGGAAAAAAAAGAACTGAAAACAGTACAGTAAAAATCCACTTGTTTCCATTTCTTAGAGCTCATTTTGGTAAGGATCATTTTATATGATCATATGCACATAGCTGTTGAACACTTGTGATCCTCTCCTAAGAATACCGTCCTTTAGTCTCCTTGTGTGAATGTTTGTAGAGTCCTGCTTAATTAATCATGTCCAAGTGTAATTTTTTTGTCTTTTGCTATCCATTGGGTTTACTTGTAGATTTATAGGCACATTGTAATTACTACAAATGAGGGAAACCACGCAGCCTATATTTCTTTGGGTCTGGTTTACTTTGCTTAGTATAATTTTTTCCAAGTCTTTGCACTTCTTATGAATGAGGCTTTGCTATTCTTTCTGATGGAAGCATAGAATTCCATTGTATATATATATACTACATTTTCTTCATCCACTCATCCACTGAGGTGGCATTCTACCTCTTCCTGTTAGAATGGCCGTTATCAAGAAAACCACTAATAATAGATGCTGGCAAGAATATGGCCAAAAGGGAACACTACTATGTTGTTGGTGGAAATGTAAACTTGTTCAACCACTCTGGAAAGTAGTATGGCGGTTCCTGAAAAGACTAAACATAGAACTCCACTATGACCCAGCAATCCCACTCCTGGGCATTTATCCCAATGACCACAAACTAGGTCTCACGGAAGCTTCCAGCACAACCATGCTCACTGAAGAATTGTTTAGCATAGCTAAGATACAGAGTTAACCAAGATGTTCTAGAGAATTTCTTCAGTATAACTGTTACTCTCCTCAAGAGTTCCTTTCTAGGGCTGGGAAGGTGGCTCAGTGGTAGAGCACTTGCCTTGCATGCCTGAGACCCTGGGTTCGATTCCTCAGCACCACATAAGCAAACAGAAAAAAGCCAGAAGTGGCGCTGTGGCTCAAGTGGTAGAGCGCTAGCCTTGAGCTGAAAAGCTGAGGGACAGCACCCAGGCCCAGAGTTCAGGCCCCATGACTGGACCCCCCCCCCCCAAAAAAAAAAATGAGTTCCTTTCTAATCTGTCCTCTCCATATGACCGTTCACATTTTACCCCTTCAAGCTCTGGCCTCATGCCTTGTGACTTCTTGAGGCTTGAGAAACAGAGGCTGGACCCCAGACCATGCTGATCACAGAGAGCAGAGTGGGTATGGACCCTTACCGAGGTTACCTGCTTATCTAAACTTCCTCTCCTCCCTTGCTATGCCTAGATTTGATGAATGGGGCAAGACTAATAGAGGTCACATCTAGGACTGGCTCTTAAGAAGGTTCCACGTTAGCCCTCAGCAATCACCTGTTGTGCTTCAGTGGTCTGTGGTGCTCTTGTAGGCTACGTGTATGTTACAGGTTGAGATTTCTTCTTCCTAAAAGCCAAGTTGAAATCTCTACCCCTCCTAACTGTGAATGTAAAAGTAGAATGTCATTAAATTATGTAGATGTCATTAAATTATGACGAGAACATTAGGGTAGACTGTAAGTTTGATGGTCTTACAAGAAGAGCCAGAGACAGGGTAAAGAAGGCCATGTGATGTTGAAGCGGATTGTAGTGATGCTGTCTCAGGTCTGGGAGGAGCTGGGAAAGGCCCCGAAGGGTCCTTTTGTCGAGGCCGTGGATGTCATGGAAGGGGTGGGCTGCCTCTGTGTCAGGCTTTGGAAGTGGAAGCAAACCTTTGCAGTGGTTAAGTCCAAGAGATTTAAGGATGAGCTGTTACTGTATCAGGCCTAGTTTATCCAGACGAATTCAGTGCAAAGGACATTCCTAAGTAGGCTCTCCCCACCGTCCGAGATTCTAGAGACCTTGCATGTTCCTTTCTGTCTCCCGCTCCTTTCTATACCCTGTTCTCCCATGGTATGGTTTGGGACTCTGGTTGTGGGATATTCTTTCTGTCTAGAATGTTTTTCTTTTAAAATTATCTTTTAATAAAAAATCATATCCTGTTAAAGACCAACTCAAATATTACTGTTTCTTCAAGAAGTAAGATTAAAGGCATTTGTGAAATTAATTCCAAGAGAACTCATTCTAGCTCAGCTCTGTGAAAGTCAAGGGGTGTTTGTCTATAACCACCGGTGATGCCCAAGCCATGTCGTGACCCCCTTAAATTGGTGGGTTCCTGACAGAAGTCAGACTGTATCTAGAATACTTTGGGGAGCTGGGCTGTTACAGGAAAGCCTGGTGCATTTATGGGATTTTATGTTCAGTTTGTACTTGACTTACTAAGTTCTAGAAGATCTAAAGTCCTACCTGTGTCTGTTTTGTATATAATCCCATATGTATGCATGTGGGTATGCATGTGTGTGTGTGCATGCGTGTGTGTGTGTGTGTGTGTGTGTGTGTGTGTGTGTGTGTGTGTAAGACAGAAAGAGAAAGAGAAGAAAGAGAGATTGTTATTAGGAGTTGTGATATTTTAGGCTAGGGAGTGGTTTTTCTCTTTTCTAACACACTGGTTAGGAATAAGCCAAGAGTTTGGACTGAATTCTCATATGCTTAAGAAATTGTTAATAGTTTAAAACTCTTAAGAATGTGCCATGCA